CTGAAAAGTAGAGCCTACCTGTACAGGGTTCCACTCCAACAGCTGATATAGTGTGTCCATGCTTGACTGCTTCAAGGCTCAAAAAGAAAGAGGATAAGACTCTGCGCATAAAAGACACTAGCGGTCTGCACCTCTACCGTGTACGCCCTAGTCACTCTTTCAGTGGTAGCGGAGCAGTGATCCTGGAAGACCCAGGTGAGCTCCTTTCCTAGGCATAGAATTGCTTGTGGGCAAACGGCCATGGATTGGATTGACGACTGGGAAGAGCCTGATGCGGATGTGGCTTATGAGCCAGCAGCCTACGTGAATAGGCATGTGAGAAGAGAACCAGCAGCAATAGCAATGACAACACAGGTCACTACAAAGGTGCCCCCATCTTATGATGGAAAGACTTCATGGTTTTCCTATGAGGATGCCATAGACGATTGGTGTGATATCACCGAGCTGGAAGATGAGAAGAGAGGACCAGCTTTGAGAAACAGATTAGAAGGAGAAGCAGCAGTATACAAACGTGTATTAGACAGAGATTCATTGAAGGCTAATGAGCCACCAGGAGCAGGAGTAGATTACTTCAAACGAGTACTACGACCATATTTCGTGAAAGGATCAACCAATGTATTCCTATACAGGTTTATGCAATTCGTGCGATTCAATCGAGGATCAGCCGACATGATGAAATGGATGACAAGATTCCAGATTTTACTCCAAAGGCTTATGAGCAGTTGGATGGACATGTTAGAACCAGTCACTCAAGCACATCCCCAAGTCCTTGCTCAGATGCAGGCAGATGCAGCGTTGACTGGAGTAGCACCAACGGCAGAAAGGATTCAGGAAATCATGCAGAATGTCAATGGCAATATGAGAATTCTTCATCAGAATGATTTTCCTTTAGGAGAGAATCTCATTGCCCTACTCATGCTGTCCCTTGCAGATTTGTCTCAGGACCAGCGAAACACTTTGACTTCGTTGATGACTCATCGTGGCAGGTACCTGCAGCAATACACTACAACAGAGCTGAGGACAGTTTTCATCGAGATGTTCTGCACGACAAAGACTTCAGTAGACAATCCATTGATGCAGCCGACAGGTGCTGGAGGTAGAAGATCATTTCTCGTACTAGACGAAGGAGAACTCGATGGTACATTTGGCTATTGGGCCGAAGATGAAGAAGATGGAACAGAAGGATTTTTAGATGCCCTGGACGATGTCTTTTGGGTATATGATGATCAAAACTTCTCGTGGTTCCAAAGGAGATTCCAAGGAAGAAGAGCCAGAAAAGGCAAAGGAAAAGGTAGAAGAAAAGGAAAAGGAAAAGGAAGATCAGGCCGTAGATTCTTCAGACCTCGTGGAAAAGGAAAAGGAAAGAGACGAGGTAAAGGCCATTTTGCTGATGAGCAACAGACAACTTTTCCAGATGAATACCTTGAAGAGAATCCTTATGAGGACACTTGGGAGTCAACCCAAGGAGCATATGATGCCATTCTTGCCGAGGATATGAATGACTATCTTCAAGGAGAATATGATGATGCCAATGACTTTTGGCAACAGCTTGAAGAAGCATGGTTTTCCCACAAGGGAAAAGGAAAAGGCAAGAGAAAAGGCAAGAAAGGAAAAGGAAAAGATAAAGGAGATGGCAAACAAGATGCAAACTATGCAAATCAACAACAGCCACGTTCTTTACCTGCACCTTCAAGAACTTCACAAGCATCAGGAGGTCAACAAGGTTTCTTTGCGCATTGTGTGACAGCAGCAGCTGAAGTCCATGACAGTGAGGTGGACTTGCTGTCAGGCATGATGACCTCATGCCAAGATGAAGCTGACTGCGTGGTCAACAATGGTGAGACGATCTTCGATGACATGAGTGCCCCTGTGAGGTACTCTTTGTCAAAGGAGATGCTCACAAAGGCTCCTGATGGCTTTGCGCTTATGAGCGCTGATGGCTTTGCGCTTATGAGCGCTGAGGAAGAAGTGAAGGAGATGCAGGCTATTTCATTTTTGACTGAGAATCGCTTCCCGCCAACTATTGCAATCCTGGACATTGGATGCACTAGAGCTATGGGATCAAGGCGAGCAGTCGACCATTTTTGCAACTATGTCGACAATCACCCAGATTGTGGATTATGGTACTCTTTTGAGTCTACCAAGAGCAAGTTTTACTTTGCCAATTCCCAGAAGGCTACTTGCTCTCAGAAACTGGTGATTTATATGTATGATCGTGCATGGACGATCCACCATACAGAGTTCGACATAGTGGAAGAAGGAGAAGTCCCTTTGCTTATGAGCTTGCCACAGATGAGGAACTTAGGCTTTGAACTCAGGCTGACACCTCAACATGCTTATCTGACATCGGTGCCTCTTGGTATCAAATTTTTGGAATTGCAGGTTGCAGCCAGTACTCATCTTGTGTTGGACTTCCAAGATATTGCATGGTATCTGTCTGACGTGCGTTGGCAGACTCAGCGTGAGAAGAGTTTTTACTCTCACCTCACTCACTATGAATATGGCCATATTTCTGTTGAACACAATAGTGATGAAGGTGAAGCTGAGCATGCATATCCTGTGGTTGATTTCTGGGAAGTAGATGTTCACAAGAGAGAACTGATACGTCACCACAAGGATTACAGGAAAATTCTTTTCCCAGCAACTAAGTCCTGTCCTGTAGACACTGACTTGCTGGAAGACTTGCGACTGACAATCATCAAGAAGAAAGCAGGAGGAGAAGAAATCAAGAAGACAGATGATTGGCGCAAGGCAAAATGGAAGGACCTACAACTTGGCTATGAATGGCGTGGTAGAACAATTTTTAAATTTAAGCCAGATGCCAAAATTCCAGATCTAAAGATCAGGAAGGCTGGCATTGAGCACCGTGGCATTGGTGATCCCGATGCAGTGGTGCGCTCCTCCTCAGAGAAGGTTCCCATTGCAAAGGACAGGGAACCAGGCTTCTCGTCAGAGAAGGAAGGTGCACCATCCAGTGCCGCGGAAAAGCCCGCGCCGCCAAAGTTTCGGTATACTTCCAAGGGTTTTGATCCATTTTGGAAAGGACACAAGTCGAAACCATCTGAGCCTCAGAATGATTTAAAGGGTGATGATCTTGAGGAGTATGCTCCCTCAGAACCACCTGAGAGGCCAGAAGGTGAACTTGTAGAAATTCCTAAAGCATCAAAAGGACCATCAAGTGATAAACATGAACCACTTGAACCAGGTGATGGCGCTCTTGAGCCTAGGCGGATTTCAATCCCATTACCTGGTAGTGAAGTTGTTGCAATGACACCGGCATATAGGAAGATGTTACAGAGACTGGAGGACAAGGTAGAGCTTTATAAGCTTCATGTGAAGCACTACCATATGAGTCCTACTCAGTTTCGTAGACGTGTTTCTATGTTGAAGCTTCCTGACTCTGTTTTAGAGAAGTATGAATCAGTTGTCAGGAACTGCCGTGTTTGTAACACTTCAGTGGCACCTCCGCCACGAGCCAGAGTCTCCGGTATTAGAGCTTCATGTTTTGGTGATGTTGTTTTTGCTGATCATTGTGAGGTTGAACTTCACAAGAACAAGTATATCATTCTACTTGTTCTTGATGGTGCCACAAATCTTCTCTGGGCTACGGCACAGAAAGACCTCATAGATCAAACCACCATCCAAGCATTGAGGCAATGGTCTGATGAGAACAACTGTGTTCCAAAGGCCATCGTAGGAGACGAAGCCTT